GCAGGAGGAGAAGTGGTGTTTTAGGAGCTTGTGGAGCGTTAGAAAGATGCTGGATTTGAAGCCTGCAAGAAGATGGTGAGATTAAAAATAGGCTGTAGCTCAGCCCTCCCCGGCATTTCAGCTTCTTAACTGCCTGTTCTCCGTGCGAACAGCGATGAGAGAGGCAGCGATGGGAGGCAGCGATGGAGAACGCTTTCTGTCGCATGTCCCCAACAGCCCCGGACAGGGTGGTATTTCCCTCTTTCCACTCTTCCTCGCGCCCTCTGTCCGTGGTGAAGCCATCTGCAAGCCTGGTGATTCGAACGTCCCCTCTCCACCTTCAGCCAAACTGAGGGACTCAACAAGGCTTTTGTGTCTGTCAAAAACGAGCTCGTTCCTTCGCACATGACAAGCTGTTTGTGTGCGCCAGTAGCTTGTTAGGGAAAGGGGCCCGTTTCTGCAGTCATCGCTGGACATCATTATACAGATGTTTTAATTTGAAACGTTCCTTCAAGGCACCCATTTCACAGAACTAGGTTACCCAGTAGACTCCTGTATTACACTTTTGCACCTCCCTTGGCAGTGTTGTATTTAGATTTAAAAATATCCACCCAAAGACGGTTCATAATGTTAGGGTGCTGAAAGGCATACTTAGATAAGGTAATTGAATCGCCTCACCAACAGCTCGCATGTTATAGGGGACAGAAGCAGTTTCTTCTGCTCTTCACCAGTGCTATGTATCCCAGCAGGCGGGTTTTGGGGAAGGCTGGGGTCCCCTGAGCTGCTGCTTTCAGCTAGCAGTGAAAGCGGGATGTCACCCGCGAGAAGTGATCGGTCTTGTCCAACGTGGTAAATTCAGGCACAATCTTTGTAAGCTCTAGTGTGGGGCTTTTTTCCCCCAGCTTTGACTTTCATACGTCAGCGAGATCCTTCATCTGAATTGTTTCAGGATGTTTTAGGAGCGTTTGCAAGTTTCCTAAGTTTGGCTCCGCTGGAGCCAAGAGCTGGAGCAGCCGGTCAACAACAGCAGGTTTAGCCCTGTTTATGCTCTCAGATAACAGTTTGCAATTGGGGAAAGCGTTACGTGAAGTTGCAGTGCCTCATGAGCACCCCTCTTTTTATGTATGCTCTTTCTAGAGTGATATTTGTGAATAGTAACAGACTGTTCTCATAGAAATGTGTCGGAGACATGCCGCTGTGTGGGGCCACTAGTGCTCTTACTAATTCTCACTAGAATTGTCTCTTTTAATTCTTCTGTGAAGTAAAAATTCTCCCCATTTTGGAGAGGGAGCCAGGAGGCAGCAGAAAGGCAGCCTGGTGTTCCCGCAGACTCACAGCCGTCCTGTGCAAGCTGTCTACGGTGGATAAACCCTTACTGTTGCATGGGGGGGGACAGGGAAAAGGGGCAGAAATCTGAAGAGGCTTTTTCTCTCCTGGTTTTCAAGCACACATATCGGTGTAATTGCAGTAGTTGGTAGTGTGATTGAGTTGGATGTGGCTGTGCCTCCATTTGCCCATCTCTCGCTTGCAAAAGGGGAATGCCAGGGTTAAGTTGCCTTCTAGGAAGATGAGATTGACCCCATGGCCAGTGAGGTCTCTCTCCGCAAGGCAACCAGAGTAGTCCGTAACAGCAAATGTATTTCTCTCTCGTGGGAATGTAATGCAGAGTTGCTAAATGTGCTTGGGCCTTTCCTCGGGCTTCGTTCCTGTTGAATTAGGACTTAACTTTCATTCCCGTATATGCTGGGTTACTACAGTCATTTTCATCCAAGAGTGCATGATTTCTTCATGCTCCTAGGACTAAGCAAGGCAGGAGGCTTGGCATGGAGCTGTGCCCTTGCAGAGCACGTCATACAGCAGCAGGAGCTGAGCAGTCTTGAGACTCCAGCTTCAGTGTTGGGTGTCCACAAAAGCCTTGGCATATCCTGCGCTCTGTGCATGCCTCTTGTAAAGTGTTTCCAGGTTTTCAGCGTTGCAGTGGGAGCTCTAGAAGTTGCTATGAAAAGTGGATCTAAAAGAAGGAATCTGGCACAAAGCCATGGCTTTCACTGCGTGTTTTATTGCTGTTCTCTCCATAGGGACGTTCGTATCAGCTTTCACTGTGCTGTGCGGCGCCCGGACCGACCTCCCCGACAGGCACATGTGTTGTGTCTTCTGGCTGAACATCGCTGCTGCTCTCATTCAGATCCTTACAGCAATCGTGATGGTTGGCTGGATTATGAGTATATTTTGGGGGATGGACATGGTCATTCTTGCAAGTAAGTACAGTGCACTTCCCCTCTCCCTCCCTCCCTCTCCTGACTTCTCCCGCCTTGGCCATGCTGCTGGGACTCAGCTAATACCCCTACAAGCTGTCGCACTGCTCCTGGAGGCAATGTGAGCCAGAGGGTGGGCACTGCAAGTCACTGAGAAATGCAGAGGAGTTGCAGGCAGAGGAGTTGCTGGAAGGTGGCGAGGGCTGTATGTACCAGGCTGCCCTGTGACACATTGTGGAGAATCTCCCATCCCACCGCTCAGGTGAGGAACCTCATTTCCCCTTTTGTAAATGAGAAGATCAGGAAGGGGTGAGGCTCCCCAGTGGTGGTGGCCAGGATGGTGAGCGCTGTTGTCCACAGCCCCCTTACTCCCTGGTTGCGTGGGTGTGGGTCTGAGCAGCACCCTGTCGCCCCTGCGGCTCCTGCGGCACCTTTGCAGCCGGCAAGCTCCAGCCAGGCCCTCCCGAGAGGGTGCTGCTCTGCCCAGGTGAATCCCAGCTACCTGCCTGCGGGGAAGCCCCGGGATGCTCCTGCATCCTTGTTTCTGCCCAGGATCCAGTCATCCACAAGCTTTTCTTCATGTTTCATGAAATTCTTAGACTAAGCAGGACAGTTCCGTTTGTCTGAAAGTGCTCCCTAGAGGGAGATTTCCTGCCCCCTTTGAAGAGACTGAAACACTAGTCTGGGAGAAGAGAGGAATCCTTCTTTAAACATACACAATTTAGGTCACCCAGTCTGTATTATCTCTGTATTGCCAATCTGAAAGTCAAGGCTAGTAACTTTATCGGCTAAAGACTTTTACTGGTGCAAAATGAAGCTTTGAGAAAAGTTGAAGCAGCTCTGCTGAAGTCAGTTGATCTGCAAAAAGCATCTTTTCAATTAGTTAAAACTTAATTCTGCTTCCCCAAGTTTCCTCCCAAGGTTTCAGCTAAAGACAAAAAATTATTGTAGTTCATGGTTTACTCAGAGAGGCAGCAAAGTGATGTTCATGTTTTGTTTGGTTCAGTTAATTACAACGACAGACAAAGTTCTTGGCATGTGAGCCTTGATTTCAATGAGCTTCCAAAGTGCCCGAATTGCTATGGATCCAGCAGCTTCTTTCCCCTGCATCATGCAGCAGAGGGTAAAGGCGATGGGCTCCCTTCACTTCCCAGGCCAGAAGCAGCCAGTCGAGGTGCTGAGCACACATCAGAGATGCCCCCAGCAAAAGCTGCGAGAGGCAGGTGGGCTTTGCCCCAGAGTGAGCAGGTCTGAGACCTTCCAGACCAACGGGAGAAGCAGGTCCGAAAGTGAGGGCTTCTCCTGGGGTAACGTCTTACTGGTAGCATCTGCCCTTTTGTTTGAAGGGGCTCCACTTAGTCATGTCTGCTGATGATATCCGTGGCTGCATGACAAAGGAGGAGCGAGGCGCTCAGGAAATTGCCAGAGATTGAGGAAATCCAAAAAAACCTGCAGGAAAGCAGTGCACATTTTCAGCTGCCGAACCCGCTGGTTAAAGGCACTCACCAAACTACCTGCTCCGTTCTGAGGCAGCCTCAGTGCCCAGGCTGAGCGGAGGGCAATCCCCAGGCACAGCAAACGAGGGAGGTCAAAAACCTGCCTATGAGCCAGACAAAAGGCTCTCGTCAGGACGCAGGCAGCACTGCACTTCCTTTTGTTGTAAGAACCAGTTGGCATGTTTTGTGTCAGAGGTACCCACTCTTCAGAGGCAGCCCGAGTTATTTCTGAGTATAAATTGTAAATCGTTGTGTATTTGTGACGTGTCTTTGAGAGCCTACCCAGTTTGTCTGTAGTCCGTAACTACGTGTTCATGCCTGCACACGTGCTCGCTGCTCCTCTGCCGGACGCATACGTCATCTGGCTAAAAGGGCCGGTTTTCAGCAGAATCTTTCTAATTTCCCAGTTTGGCTGCTTGGGAACAAGGTGCAGCTGGGCGGCATCTGTCAGAAGCTGTTCCCGTCGCCTGGCTCCATCCCACCGGTGGGTTTGGTTTGGGTGGGTTACACTCAGGCCATGAGGCCCCAGGCTATAGCAACAGCATTTCACCCAGGCCCCTCTGCTAGGACTAGAGAGGAGTGGGGCCAGCATAACATGCGTTGCGCTAACCAGTTATATAGTGACAAGTTGCAGCCTTTGGTAGTTTCTTGCTGCCTCGTTGAAGCCATGCAAATAGCTGGTTTTTAAGTTTACTTACAGTACAGAAAAAATAATGGATAAAAAAGCCAGCTCTTGGTTGATGGAGAACAAAAGGAAAACTTGTTTTTCAAACAAAAGAAACCCCAGAAGTCATCAGTTGCTCCTGGCTGGATCAAACACGCTGCCAGACCTGAAATGAAACGTTTTGTTTTCAAGTTTTGTTTTCATGTTCAAAAAGAATAACTGAGTCATTTAAAAATGAAACAATGTTTCAAATACCAGAAACGAGACATTTCATTCAAAAGCAGTGTCGTGAGCTGGCTTGCTTCAGTTTGGGTTTGTTTGCATACAAACAGAGACAATTTGGTCTCTGCGCAGCAGACAGAAAACCTCAGCCAACTCGAACCTGCGTTTGGGAGGGGAGGCGATAGATTACAAAATACCAAACCACTGCCCATCCACCCCTGTGATGTGCCATGCATGCGGAGGGCATGGTTTTGATGGGTGAGAGGCAACGCAGGGGGCTTGATGTCTAACGACAGCAGCGGCTAGCAATGAGCAGCAAGCCAGGAAGCCAGCAAGCACCAGCAGCCAGGGCTGGGCTGCTTCTCCTTGGGATGTTTGCGGCTGGGGCGAGGGGCTAGTGCCAGTTTCAGTGGCTCCAGGTAGAGCGGTTTGCTGAAGAATGGGCCCGCATATTAGTTCGTAGAGAGCTGGGTAGGAGTTAGGGAGGCTTGTTGCCATTTTTCACTTCCTAACTAGTTCTCAGCCACTAGAAGGGGAGCTCTGCAGGAGCTTGTTTCACCAAGAGAGCTTGGAGGATGATGTCACGCTGCCTATCTTTAATGAGGGGAAAAATGAGCAGAATTGTAGGCCAATCAGCCAAACTTAAATTCCTGGAACAAGTAATCAAACAAATGACTTGCATGCATTTAGAAAATACAAAAAAACCGAAGTAACAGTCAGCCTGAATTTGTCAAAAGCAAGCTCTGTCAGACTGGTCTAATTCCCTTCTATAATACAGAAATTAATTTTGTAAATAGAGGAGATGCATTAGACATGCGTCTCGACTTTCAGACTCTGACACTGTCTTACAGAGTTTTCCTGTAAGCTAGCCAGGGAGACGTGGTCTGGGGGAAAACTCTTTTGGACCTGCTCTCTGAATACATTTTCTGTAATTCATTCTCAAATGTAAAATATATAAAGAGAGGTGTTTTGAAAGGTCCCTCCGGCATCCAGTTCTGTTCAGTGTCTTCATTCATGGCTTGAATGACGGACGAGAGAACAACCTTAGCAAACCTGCAGACACCAGACAGCTGGAAGGATGCAGGTACAGTGAGAGCAGGACTGGAATTCAAACAGGATCCTGACAGATCGAAGAAATGGTCTGAAAAAAAAAAAAAAGGATGCTATTCAGTCAGGACAAGTCCAAGATATTAAGGAAGGATTCATCAACTGCATAGGCTAGGGAACAACTTGTTTTTCAGAGAAGGCTCTCGAGGCTACAGTGAATCACAAGCTGAACATGAGTGTAGAAGAGCATGTCGTTGTGGAAACACCGTACAGGGCAGCATAAGCAGGAACAGAGCCTCTAGATTATGAACGGATCCTTTCACCCTACTCAGCACTTGTAAGGCTGCAGCTAGACTTCTGTGTCCAGTTTTGGAGTCTGTATTTCATGTGGACAACTTGGAGAGAGTCCAAGCAGACCGTGAGACAGCAGGCGATGGGAAGGTTCTGTGGGCGAGTGAACGTGGCAGAGGGTAGCAGGTCAGCCTCAGAAAGACAGACTTAAATTGCAGCAAGAAAGATCTATGTAGAAGTTAGGACATGTTTTCTGCCCATAAGGTCAAAGTGCTGAAGAGCTCGCTTGGTGGGATGTGGCCTCTCCGTCACTCGAGGACCTTACGGACAGGCAGACCAGCATCTGTCAGGAGCCACGTGGGACGAGGGGACCGCCAGGCTGACCTGGGGGGGTCCCTTCCAGCCCTGTTTTCCTGAAAGGTGTCCTTTAGCAGGAGGTATCCCAGAAGGCAGACAGCTGAATGCAGTTTTACTGTCACACTTAATTACTTTTGGCAGTTCAATTGCACGGGACGTTTTCACAGTGTCTCTGCTAATTTAAATGAATGGCCAGCTGGCCCCATCGGACCCCAAGCAGATATCTTCTTTAACCAGCCATGTGGCTTTTGAAACAGTCCTTTGTTTTACCTGTAGTCTAACAGCAAAGGTAGATTAAAAGGAAGCACTGTATTCTTTTGCAAGGAGGAGTCTGGACTCTCTCCTTCTGCCCTACGTCCCTCGGTCCCGCTGCTGGCTGTGAAATACCCAGCGGCTTTGCTGGCTGCTGCCCCACAGACCCTGTGAATCGCTTAGTACACTGGTGAGGAAGCGACAGGGAGCTGAGGTGAAGCAGAGCTAATGAATTGGGTGCGCTGGTAGCTCGCCAGAGCAGACTGGAAAATGAGGCTGCAGGGCTTTCTGAGCAAGTTTCCCTCTGCTAACGGCACACCTATTCCCCAACCCACTGAGCGCACGTCTTTGCTAGCTAAAATGAGCCCTGTGCAGAATGAGTGCAGAGAAACTGGCCTTTCCTGAAGCTCCCTACCTGTCCAGAGCCTTGTCGTAAGAGGTTTTATGCTATTTCTTGACAGAAGCAAGCCAATAATCAATATAGTAATGTCACACAGAGGTGGCATAGGCAACGGAAGTCAGGGACTATTTGCTCAGGAGTTGTTTCGCCTCTGATGAACACGGCCAAAAAATCAAGTAAGGTTTTTGGAAGGCAGCCCCAGCTCATGCTCTGGCCCCTGTGTGTGTGGCTGCGGCTGTGGGTGAGCGAAGGGGCTCGCACTGGTGCTCCCCCGGAGCCGGGACTCGCGCAACAAGTTGCAGCCATGTCCCTGCAGGGTAGACTTGAGAGATTCAGGAAAGACCTGGGACTCTTTTTTTTTTTTTAATCCAGATAGAGCTATCCTCTTAACTATGCCAAAGGAAAGTAGGTGAAATAACTTTTTCTGCAGTCTCCTACCAAATGCTGCAGTGGGACAAGAGTCTTCAAACATTTTCCCGTTGTTAATTATAGGCAGGGTTTGCAGCACACAGCCAGCCTGAGGCACGTAGCCGTTGTGCGCTATCTTGGGGACGCAAGCAAACTTGGCAGCCAAAAAAAGCAAAAAGCGGTCCGATGTTTAGTTTTCCTAGCTCTTGGTCTGTCGTGGTGTACCACAAATCATCTCATACGCCATAATGTCTTGTTTGCTCCCTTCCTTTGGCAGTGCCCCTTAAATCAAACCCATGCAATAGCCCCGTCACCGAGGGAAGCGTTTGTCAGAGCATCTCTTGGGCTCCGAGGTGTTAGTCCAGGCTGCTTGGCTCAGGTCCAGTCACCTGAAGAGCGGAGGAGGATTCCCCCATCCTCTCTAAACAAGAGCCCCGAATGAAACCATCCACTTGAAACGAAAGGATTTTAAATAAATAAAGCATTGTCAATGTTTAGCTCTGGTGTGAATGTTTAATTGTAGAGCAGATGTTCTCTGTTTACTCTGCAGCCTCGATTTACTCATTCTTTTCTGGTTCTTTATGTGTTTCGGATATATCGTCTACAGTTACGTTTCTCCCTCTCTCTTTCTTTCATGTTCCTTTGCCTCCTTTTGTTCACCATCAAAGTTTCACAAGGTAAGTTCGTTTCTGTTTCTCCTAACCCTCCTGCTAGCATCCAGTGGCTAGATCCTGACGGGCGCAGGCAGGCCAATTCCCACGGAAACCCCGAGTGCTGCTCGGGGGCGAGGAGTGGAGGGTTCGGTTTGGCAGGCGTCACCCCGCTCAGTCCGAGGCGTGTCGGCGTGTGTCTGCATCCGTACCGTGGCCGCCCCGGCGGGCCCGGGGGAGAGCGAAGGGCCCTGCCGTGTTACGAGTGCGGACCCCGGATCCGGCAGCGGGAGAGCCTTGGCCGGGGTCGCTTGCCTTTCGCCTAAGGCTTCCCCTAAATGCAAATCTGTAACGGTTTACCTAAGAAGGGCAGTTTTAACCCAGCTTACTTGAGTTGCCGACTTTGTGCACAGATACTCCGACTGATTTAATCTCGACTCTAGAGCAGTCTGCTTTTACAAAACTGAACAGAACTTTACTTTGCCCTATTGCTGCGCAGGCATACTGATAGAGGCGTGCTCCATGCCTAAGTTGCTGTTCCTATACGGGAAAAGCAGTAACTATTTTCGTATATAATCTATTTAATAAAATAAATGTCCTAAGTATTTTAACAAGTTTAGTGTAGAGCAGGTCATCTTTTGGCTTACTTTGGTCACGCAGAGAGATACAGGCGCAACTGCTGTAATTGGCTTCTAGCCAGCTGCAGCACCAATACGCACGGCTGTGAAAGGCTCTCTCTTACATTTTAATTAAAGGTATGGCTACACAAGCAAGTTGCTGTAAGCATGGCCTAGGCTGCTGACCTTAGCTGAGAATTTACAGCATGCCCCCACCTCCCAGGGCCAGGTTTATTTTTGCACCATTCTCTTTCTCTGAGCAAGTTAAACTGATGCAGTACTGCTAGATGAGCCCGTAACCACTAGGATCTTCCGACTAGCAAATCTTGTCTTCGGAACTGACTCATAGCTGGAAAATAAATGCATAACAAATCATCATATTTTTCACCTAGAAAATGCAGTTTGAAAGAGATGAGAGTCTTTCTGTTCAGCTGCACAGTATGAAAAGCAACGTAGTGCAGAGTAACGCGTGCCGATAAGCGTCGTTACTCCCGTCCTCTGTTCCTTGTGCTCATCAAACCGCAGCAGCAGATCCAAGCTGCCGAGGTTGCACGCGTGTGTGGATTTTTCCTGAGTACAGCGAAGTTCATTTGCCAGGGCCAGGTCTTAGTTTAGCAAAAAGTCCCTCAAAGAGAGAGGTGGTGGCACTTGCCGGTATTGTGTGTTCAGCTTTCGTAAGAGGTTTTAAAAAGTCTTACGTAAGAGTTGGAAAGAAGCTTAAAAACACCAGTGGAAAGGGGTTTGAAGATTTAAGTATTCTTCTGAGATGCGGACACTTCAGTAGTATTTGAAATCCAAAGTATAAAGCTGACAGTCCACCTATGTTATTCAAATTGGAGGGGAAAAAAAAAAAAAAAGCCTGGACTTTTTAAACATTTCCAGCTGAAAGAGCGTCACTATGACAGGTGGTGCAGGTAAGGACAGGTTTGGGGCTTTTTTTTTTAAAAAAAAGAGATCTTTTGTGTTGGTATTATTGTAATAATGATCCCAGCTTGCCTTACAAAGAAAGCAGGTAAAACTTCTGGTGAGGTCATTGTGGCCAAAAAAACCCACTTCCTCGCTCTGCTGGTGCAGGAAGCCGGGTAGTCTCCCAGGGTGGTCGATGCCCCCTGCTAAAGAGCTCCGCGCTACCCCGTCCCGCCGGAGCTGCTGCGTGCCCTGACCGCAGCACACGTAATCCTGCCTCCGCGCTGCAGCAAAGCGAAGGGAGCCCCGGGGCGGCCAGGGGAAGGCGGCCACCTCCAGCCGGCAGGGCTTCTGG